GTGCTTTCAACTCACCTCAATAATATAGCATAACTTAGCATGTTTTTCAGTGCAATTTCTTTACCAGCAGTCTTCATGAAATGGACTGATTTGACTAAACACGGTGTGGGGTAAAGAGTATTCAATCACTGAGAACTTATAAACCTGCCATTCTAGGCTGGCTCTGCCCCGGTGCTATTTTGAGCAAGTCAGCTTAAACTCTGAGCCTCATTTGCAATGTAAGGGGATTGCCAAGGTCTTAAAGGATCCATTCAGCCTGAAAAATTCATGATTCCATGATCGACTACTATATTTAGGGAAGACTGCCAGGAAAATATGGCATACATATAACATTATATATATGCCCTATAGTAGAAAAACATGACTTTCAAAAAAGACAAAACAGCAAACTATGCATTTGTGGGTGAGACCAACAAGTTCCTAGAGACAGGCGTTTCCCTCATGAGTTTTTAAAAAGTTTCACGTTTAAGAGCAGTTTCAGGTTCACAGCAAAATTGAGAAGGTACAGAGAGTTCCCATGTACCCCCTGCCCCTGCCCATGCGTATCTGCCCCCATTATTCACATCCCCCACCAGAGCGGTACATTTGTTACAGTGAGTGAACCTACATTGACACAGCATTGTCACCCGAAGTCTGTGGTTTGCTTTGGGGTTCACCTTTGGTGTCCTGTGTTCTGTGGGTGTGCCTTGTGAATCTGTAATCACCGTGAATCCGCATGCACTAGGGAGGCTCTGGCTCTGTTAAGTAGAGCATGGCAGGGACCTTGCTCAGGAGTGGGTACGGGGTAGGCACCTGATAGGTATGTGTTGTGCGGTCTACACAGGAGAAGGTGGCTCAATACTTGCCAGTCAGAGTGTGGTTAGCCCTGGCCGCACGCCAGGGCTCCCCCAGCCCTGCTGAACAGGGTTTGCATCTTAACAGGATCGCCCATCCCCCGTGTACCATCCTCGTTCCTTTTCCTCTGTCATCCCAGAGAGAACCTTTCACTGGTGCGTGAACTAACGCTTGAGAGCTTGAAAATTGATCTCCAGGGCTTGAAATTAGAGTGCCTGACGCCTTGTCTGCTGGGAGAGACTCACCTGGGTTTTCTAGCCTCTTCCTGAATTAACTCCAGAAGTTATTCTCATGGCATTTCAGCTGCTGTCTCTTTAGAGCTGGTTTCTCCCTCCTGGAGCTTGGCCAAAAGGAGGGGGAAAAAACATCACAGCTTGGTATACCTCACCGGTCTTCATAGGAAGCTTTTGCTCCTCTGTTTTACTGGCCAGGGAAAATTTTCATTCTGCTGATTGTTTTGCTTCCCTGTTCCCTGTCCTTTGTAGGTAGAATTGATTGAGTTCTAACTTGCATCCTATACTTGGGCTCATATATTAGGCACTAAACGCCCCTTTCTTTACTGTTTTCTCTCTTGCGGTCTTCCAGTGCACTTGCTAATGTTTCTGATTCATTTTATTTATTTTTTTCTGATTCATTTAAAAAGGGATCTTACTCTCTGTTCAGATCTTACATTTCAAAATAAATCATATCATATAGCAGAGTTTTAAAATAGACACATAAAATAATATAGCCTTAGGAAAAATTTTAAATCTATATGCTAGGAATTGGAAAGAATGTTTATTTTATTACTTCTTAAATTTATGACTTTTTAGCCTTTACTGTGGAGGTGAACAGCTGCTTCTTTACCCAAGTTGTAATTTTATGATTGTTACCCTTACCCATGCTTGGAATGTGGCGGGTAAATAGTAAAAGCACGTAGACGAGAAATCCTAGAGCCAGGTTGAATGGAAGACAGCAAATGCCTAAGAATATTGCTATGAAATAACCAAGAAACCTTTGAGAACTGGTTTTCTTCTTTATTTTTAAATACCATATTCCATAGAAAGGAGTGTGACCCTTTCAAGTAAACCACTTACGTCTGGTGTAAGTTTGGACTTTCAGGTGCTAATGGAACCAGGTAGGAATGTTGTGTCTATATAAATATATGACTAAATATCACTTGCCAATTTTAGTGTATACACACAAAATCTATTCACAGAATTTTGTCTTAACTTTTTTTTTTTTGTGGTCTTGACTCTTGATTTCTCTCTCTGCTGGGGAGTCACAAATTTCTCTGGACGCCCCTCTATCAGCTTCTGTGCGATGTAATAAGCTACTTTAATTCTATATTATGTCCTTTGCAAGCTCACAAATTGCATATTATTATTGTTCATTTATACCATCAATGTTTGTTTAGATTTAACCATGTTTTTATCATTTACATTCTCTATTCTCAGATGTTCCTCCTGGGATAATTACCTTTCCCTTTGAAGTATATCCTTGTTTCGAGAGACTCCTCTAGTGGTCTTCTGTTCGTATAACCACTTTTATTAGGTGAAAATGCCCTTATTTTAACACATAGCCTTTACAGTTTCTCTGTATCTTTGATGTTCTCTGGTATCATCATATGTGTAGAAATTCACCTGGCTTGGGGTCCTTTATCTTCCTGAACTGAAGGATTCTCATCTCTCATTAGTTTTGGACCATTCTTAGCACTATCTCTTTGAATATTGTCTCTGCTCAATTCCCTCTATTACTTCTTTTTAAAACTTTGATCAGATGTATGTTGGACTGTGTCATTCTGTCTTTCATGTCTCTTACCTCCTCTTTTTTATATTCTCCTTTTGTTTCTGTGTGTTCCATTCTGAGTAATTTCCAGATCTGTCCTCCAGTTCTCCAAATCTCTCCTCAGCAATGTCTAAATTACTGTTCATTGTTTATTGTACATTATATATTCAGTTTTAAATCTTTAATTATTATATTTTTTTGCTTCCAAATGTCTTTTGGTTGTTCTTCAAATCTTTGTGGCCATTTTTCATGGTCTTTTGCTTCTACTCATGTTTTCAGTCCCTTCTTTATAATTTTAAATAAATTAAACATACTTAAAAAATATATCCTGTAATTGGAAGTCTTTACAGATCTGATACTAGTTGTGTGGGTTTCTTTTTACTTTTGGTGGAGATATTTCTTGACTTTTTTGCATAGTACCTTATTTCTTACGTGTCTTGTAATTTTAAACTTCGTGCCCATGTTTGTTGGAATTCTACCTGCAGGAATACTTTGATGCCTGGTTTGAGAGTGTGTTTTTCTGGAGAGGTTCTATGTTAGCCTCTGGTAGGCATTGGAGGCCTGGTCCATTTAAAATTATGATTCTTAACATACAGTTTTTAGGACCATACAAGTAGTATATTCCAAACTTGGGGAGACTTTTTGTAAAATATCTGCATGAAGTCAAAGTTGAAGCACTTTTTCTTGCTGCCCTCTGAGGGGAGGCTGTCTTTCTTCCTAATTCACTCTTTCCTGGAGAGTAAGGCAATTCTTGGGTCTCCACTCTTAGGAGATGGTCTTCAACTGTCCAGACCCCATACTTGTTCCTCACGCCCCCACGGCCTGAGCTTTAGGCTGTCTGGTCCCGTGTCCCTTTAGGCTATTTGGTGACTTCGGTGCTGACCTCCCTGGTCCAGCTCCTGCTTTGCTCCTGGTCTCAGCATATGTCCCTCGTTGTCTTGAGGGCTCACTCAGTCCTGTACAACGATGTTTTTGGACATTAATTCAGCATCATTGTTATGAAGTGTTAAGGCTTCAGGATCTCTAGTCTGTCATATTGCCAGGAATAGAATAGACATAACTTACTTTAAAAAGAATAAAAATAGTGAATTCAAGATTATTTCTATACTGTTTCACACACTTGTGTTCTGATAGACTGGATAAGTGAGAGGAGGGTGTCGTTATGTCATGATAGTTGCTCAGTGCCCAGCCTGTGCAGCAGTGGATGGTACCCTGTGCCTTCATCAGAGTTCTGGGCCATTGCATTTCCTGCCTCTCTCTACAGTGTATCTGAATTACAGGTAGAGACACCTAAACCACTTGAGTCACAATGATAGCCATCGCAAGGGTGAAGAATGTGAAAGTTTGAGGGGATAATATAGTGCTTTTGGTATATGTCAGAATTTGGTCCTCAGACACCATTCATTTATTTATTCATTCACTTAACAAATGATTATTGAGCTCTTACTACATATCACTCACTGTACTAGGCATCAGGGAAACAGATCAACAGTCTCTGTCCTCAAGAAGCTCACAGTGTAATGAGCAGACCGTTCATTTCAGTTAACGGATGTGACTGGTAGAAGCTGAAGGAGAGGTACTGACCCACGTGGGGAGTATTGAGGAGGGAGCTGATGTCTCTGCTGCGTCTCAGGGCTGGCAGGAGCAATCCAGGTAGAGAGCTGGGGAAGGCCACCCCAGGCAGAGAGAGGGATGTACAAAGTCACCATGTCACAGGGAATTTGGATGGGGAGCTGCAGGTAGCTCATCTGGCCAGCGCATAGCTTGGAAGACGTGAGAGTGGGACACGGAATGAGGAGCGCTGAGCCTGAAGGTCGTCTGAGGCCTGGAGGTGGGAGGTCCTGTAACTGGGGAACAGCTGACCTCTTCCCTGGGTAGTGGGTGACGCTGTCAGCATGGTCATGTTCATTTCTCTGGCGACAACTCTTATGGAAGAAAAAGAGCGTGGGCCTGGGAGTCAAGTCAGGCTTACCCTCAGATTCCAGTGCCACCTCTGTCTGGGTGATCATGTAATTGATTTAGTTGCCTTCTCTGACCCTCTCTTTTTCACATAATAAATGAAGGAGAACAGGCCAGACAACCTGTTAAGGCCGCCGCCGTTAGTCGTATTCTGTGGTGGTGGTAGAAAGTAAGAGAAACATGTTGGTATGTACACACACACACACACACTTAAGTAAAAGTGGTGCTCAGATTTATGACCATTTGCAGGTATTATGGTGACAGTAATTCTGGCAATTTCTGGCTTCCAGTTGGTTGTTTTAACTTTTAACTGTGAATTGTGGTTGTTCACAGTGAGTGGACATTTGCTAAATGAGTGTGTTTGTGTATCTGAAACAAAATGTTTGTAGTGTGACTTGCATTGTCTTGGCAGCTGAACTCGGCTTTTATTTTCTTCGTAGATGATCTCCCTCTGGATCAGCACAACCTTTCTTTATCCTCCGTGGAGCGCATGCTGAGGGAGAGCCCTGAGCACAGCATTGCACACGTGGCCTTAACAGAAACTGCCCCAGGGTCCCAGCACAGCAGTTCCCTCCCCGTCCCATCCTCTCCATCCGCCACTGCTTTTGATACAGTCTTTTTTAACCAAGGAACATGGACCCAAAGGACAGCAGATCACAGCATATTTGTGGCACATTATGTGTCAGTGATGAGCAACGAGGTCACAGATGATGATGAAATGGATAACTTTTTGCCAGAGACTCACTGGACCACTTCCCGTGTGGTTTCTCCGATGCGATACGTTACGTTCAGTCCGCCAGGGCTGCCCAAGGAAATGTTCGACCCCGTGCTGACTCCTTCGCTACCCATCGTTTCTTTACAAGATGAGGAAGTGACGTCAGCCTGGCAAAACCCAGTGCAGCGACCTACTACGTATGCTGAATCCCCGAGTCATTTCAGTGCTTTTCGGTCCGCTTTTCCCACTTCCGAGGGCATAATTCCAACTCCGAGTAGAAATCTGGTGTTTTATCCTACTGATACTTACGGGCACATATCAAGCAGGACTTTGCCCGCGATCACGGCTTCAGGAACGGAGAGTGAAGAAACCCTCCTTTTTAGCTCTCAATCTTCAGAGTCCCGGCTGCTGGGTGCTGGTGGTACTCAGCAGCCGTCTCCCCTGGCAGGGGAGGTCTCACCGCCTCCAGAGGATGTTCTGGCCGTGAGTACAGACAGGCACCTTGATATGACCACTGCTTTGGGTCACAGTCTAGACAAAACTGTGTCTCCAGGAACAGGCCACCCTGTAGCCCTGTCCCGGACGGCCTTTGCTGTCAGCGGCAGCCACACACTTTCGGCTTTGTTTTCAACTTCTCTTGAGCTTGGATCCTTTTCTGCTCAACCCACTGATGTTTCACATAACCCCTTGCTTCCTGGCAACTCCAGTGAGATGTCACAGTTGCCTGGCCATGCAGTGGTCCCAAGTCATGCAGGCGACACTCCCATCTGGAGCCCGGTGTCCCTGTTCAGACCGTCCACATGGTGCGTGTCCTGCACTGCGGTGTCACCTCGGTATGTGGTGTCCGCGAGCCTCACGGAGAAGGACGTGGGGTCAGGGGATGGTGCTGAGACCCTGTCCTTGACCCTCTTGGAAGCGAGCAGCGTCTCTCCACTGAGCAGCGTCGTGGCGGACTTCTCTGAGTTTGAGGATGACCCTCAAGAATTTAATACCCTTTTCCCCTCCAGACCGACAGTCCCCCTTTCTTCTCCGTCTGCGGACATCTCAGCAGTGAGCATCGGTGTGTCAGCTAGTGGGGACACGAGTGGTGTTGAGAGCACACACGTGTCTCCTCCCCACGGACCCCTCTCTGTACCTCTGTCACTTGATGCTGCTGCTTTCGGCCCCTCCCCTGTTGCTGAAACTCAAGTTGCGCCATCCTTGGTCCCCGCCAGTGCCCTCCCTGATTCGTCTTTCCCCGTCACAGCAAACAAAAACACACCATCGCTGTCGCCCAGAGGCCCGGGTCTTCTTCCGTCTTACGGTTTGGACAGATCAGTGGCGTCTTCACTTTTCGCCGACCAAGAACCTGCCAGTTTCCCCCCTCATGAAAGTGCAAGTGTTTTGGGTTCTGCACCCAGCCTTTTCTCCACCCCGCCGCTGGACTTCAGCAGCGGGCTCCCTCCGGCCTCAGCGGGGCTTGCTTCTCCATCTCCCATGTCCAGCGACTTGTCCGCTGTCTCTCCTCAGGCAGCTTCTGCCTTGGTTGAGACACTTCCATGGACCAACTCTGTCCATTTGCTGCCCCCTCAGTTTTCTGTTCCCAACTCCACAAACCTTGCATTTTCTCAGCTCTGGCCAAGCTCAGAGCTTCTTTTACATACACTCCCTCCTCTACCCCATTCCCCTCAAATGTCCCTCCTCCCCAGCTTCCCCTCTGATCCTCTCAAGTTCTCAGAAGCAGCCACGATGTCACTGACAGACTCTGAAGCTCGTTTTACCTCAGCTTTCACTGAAACTACCTCCGGTTTTGAGTTTTCGCTCATGTCCCGTGACCCTGCAGCTGCCACAGCGGTGCCGCCAGGTTCTGAGCCCATTTCGACTGTTCACGTCATGTCACTTCTGACTGCTGTTCACACTACACCCATCCTAACCGAATCCTCTCTCTTTCCAACCCCGACACCTTCTGAGGATGATATCAGTGCTACGAACCAGCCCACATCTGCCTTATCTTCTTTCTCTGGAGTCATTCCTGCCCCCACGGTGCTGGCCACCGCCGTGTCCCTGACGTCAGCGTCCTCGTCTGTTCCCGAGGTGGTCCCCTCACCTCTACCTACGGAGCCAGGGCGTTTGCACGGCCCATCGTTCGCACCCACAGGCTTCCCCGGGAACACCTCCACTGCACTGAGCACACCAGACACCAGTGCTGCCTCGGAGAATCCTGTTGTCACCACCCCCAACAGCAACACTGCGAGTCAGAATCCCCACGAGGGTGACATGGCGCCCCCGTCTCCGTCCCTTCATCCTGGGACCACCCCCACTCCCGAAGCAGCGATTCACACTCCGGCTCTGGTCACCACCAAGCTGCCGTATGTGTGTGATATTACGGTTCCTGATGCCTATCTGATCACAACTGGTAAGGCCTTGCCTCACGTCGCCTCTCTGTCGGTGCTTGTAGGAGATACTCAGGCGGTAAATGTGGTGAAGGGTGCAGGCCTTGGACCCCAGGCCCCTCCTGGGCTGTAATCCTCACTCCTTTGCCTCCCTCCTGGGAGTGATCCGGATGGTTATGTAGCCTTTCTGAGCCTCAGTTTCCTCAACTATTTAAACAGGGAGGATAGTGGTACCTACTTGATTGGGTTGTTGAAAGATTTAAATGCATTAATGTATCTAAAATACTTACCTCAGTGCCTGGCCTATAAAAAGCACCCATAAAATGTTACAGATTAGCTAGCGGTAGAAACAAGAAAGAAGACAAGATTCAAATGGGCCTTCGAAGTGTTTGCTGGGATCTTTGTTTTTGGAGCTCAGAACCCATTCGATGCATAGATGATGTGGTTAAGGCAAAAACGCCTTCATGCTTAGTTCAGGCAGTCGGGCAAATGTGTAAGGGCCACCCCTGCAGCTTCTTACTGATTTACTGTTCTCACTTTTCCTGGAGAAGAGGGAGCACTTTGTTCTTATCTATTCCTGTAAATATCACTTGGACTCTGAGGAGAGAGACGTGGAGTGACCAGCTATCCTGATTTTTTGGGGGAGGCCGGGGCGGGGGTAATTAGGTTTGTTTGCTTGCTTGCTTGCTTGCTTGTTTGTTTGTTTATGTAAAGAGGTACCAAGGATTGAACTCAGGACCTTCTGTATCCTAAGCACTTGCTCTGTCACTGAGCTATACCCTCCCCTATTAGACATCCTCTGAGTGGGGTCACAGACCTGGACTTCCTCCCCGTCTGCAGCCTGCGTCACCAGCTGACAGGCAGCAGCTTCCCTTGCAGCTGCCCGGCTGCTCTGGTCGCGTGGGGCTGGAGTTCCTTTGATGTCATGTCTCTGCAAGTCTGGTGACTGTGGCCCCTTGATCGGGCTCCCCCTTGTGTTCCTCTGTGAGAAGTGGCAGGTTGCGGGCCCGTGACTGTAGGCTTGAATACAAAGTGATGTCTATCAGCATGTCTCTGTGTGTCCATCTTGATGGGGATATGGGATGGAAATGAGGAAGAGGGGCACAGATGGCAGAAGAGGTGGAGCAGGAGTGGAGCAGAGGGGACACGGCAGGAGCCGGACCGCGGAAGGTGGGGGGAGGAGGGAAGAGAATGGGCTGGATCCTGCTTCTCCGCGCTGAGTGAGGGGGGCCGTGGACGGGCTCATTCATAAGGACACTGAAGTGCATTGATGGTTGGCTTGGATCTGCAGTGCTGGCCCGCAGAGCTGTGCAGGAGTACATCATCACATCCATCAAAGAGGTGCTGAGGAGTCACTTCCACCGAGTGGTGGAGCTCAAGGTGGGTCCCCCCAGCATGGAAGTCTGGCATGGGCACTCGGGGCGTGTGCACATCGTAATGGGAGTGGGACAGTCTCGTTCCCCTCTCCCCTCCCTTCTCCTTGTGGACACCCGCTCATCCTTGGAATCCCACTCAAATGTCACTTCTTCAGGGCAGCCCTTTCTGACCCCAGATGAGGCCAGGTTTTGTCCGTCAGGAGGAAGGGTTGACAGAGTTGGAGCAAAGGGCTCTAAGATCAGACCTTGGGGCGATGACCTAATGATCTTGCTTCCCTTGATTTACGTGAAGGGGCTTGGATTAGAGTTTAAATTAGAGTTAAGAGTGAGTGCACATGTATGTTTCTGTACATGGAGTGAGACAGAGATGGATTCCTAGATGTTTTGTGCTGGACGCCGGCTAGTGCCTCCTCTCTCCTATGAGCTCAGAAAGCCATGCTTTAGACCTGTGCCATCCTGAACGGAGCCATGAGCTTCATGTGGCTGTTGAGCTTGTGAAATGGGGCTTGTCCCAAATGAGATGTGCTGTCAGTGCAAGATACACACCAGATTTCAAAGACTTAATGAAAAAAAATGTAAAATATCTCATTAATATTTTTTTACATTGCCTGCAATTAGATAGGTCTGATATACTGGGTTAAGTAAAATGTATTTAAAATGAATTTCACTGGTTTCTTTTTATATTTTTTAATGTGGCTACCAGAAATTTAAAAACTGCATATGTGGCTCACATATTTCTTTCGGACAGCTCTGCTTAATAGAGTAAGTGCTTCTTTATATGTGGGTTAAATACAGCAAAACACCCTGAATTCTCCTTAATTGCTTATTCAGTTTATATTTTTAACTATTTTTTTTCACTGTCCTTGCTTTTGTAATTTTGTGCTGTTTTTGAGAGAGTTGGCAGATGTGTAAGAGGCATAACTAAAATAAAATTTTAATTATCTGTGAAGCACTACCCCTTCATTTAAAAGTACCTATTTATTTTTTACTTTATTATTTTCCTACTCAATACAACTTCCTTTAAGTTTGAGTTATGGTACCCTCAAATTTGATAATTAATGTCTTTTGCATTTTTTATTTTCATAGGTTTATGAACTATTTGCTGACTTCACTTTTCTGGTAACATCTGGTCCCTTCGTTTACACGGCCATATCAGTCATAAATGTACTTATAAATAGTAAACTTGTACGTGACCAAACTCCTTTAATCTTGGCTGTGAAACCTTCCTTCTTTGTACCAGAGTCCAGGTTCCAAGTTCAAACGGGTAAGAAAACTGAGCATAGTTCTTTTGATTTGTAAATAGAATTTCTTTTTATTTTTTATGTTTTTAAAAAATCAGAAGAGGAGTGTGTTAAAATTTATTATTTAAATTTTCAAAAAGCTGTAAAATTATGGAAAATTTCCAGCATGTTAAAAAATATACAGAATTAGTTTAATGAACCCTCATGGACTCATTGTACAGCTTCAGTGGTTTTCAACTACTAGCCATTTTGTTATGTCTACACACTTACCACATCCCCTCCTTTCATATTAATTTGATAACGGCATCATGTTATCTCATTCCTAAGTATTTCAGTCTCTGCCTCTAAAAGATAAGACCTTAAACATATATGTACATATACACATATATAAACACATGCACATACATGTACATGCATGCGTACATACACACACATCTGTACACAATACTGTTATCACACCTGCTAAAATTAACAGTAATTTCTTAATGTTATTTAACGTTTTGTTATGGACATTTTTAAAACAGATACAAAAGTAGAGAGACTAACATTTAGCCCACACATGTCCATTACCAAGCTGAAAAAATTAACAACATTTTCCCAATTTTGTCTTGTTGATCTTAAACAAACTTTTTTTTGATGAAGCTGGAGTGTTTTAAAACAAGACCAGCTATCATGTCATTTCACCCATAAGTACTTAAGAATTCATCTCTAATGAGTTTATTTATATTTGAAAATTTTCACTGTTGCATCTTTTGATGCTCCAGTTGTTACCTTAGATATTTTTCCATTTTAAAATGATACAAGTCACCTTCACGTTGTGTATATTCATTTGGTTCAGTTGGCTTTCTACATTTCCATGATCTCATGCGTATAAATAATACATCGTAGATCCTTATACATTATTGGTGGTTATGTAAATTGGTGCAGCCATTGTGGAAAACAGTATGGAGGTTTCTGAAAAAACTGAAAACAGAACTAACACATGACCCAGCAGTTCCACTCTTGGGTATATATCCGAAAAAAATGAAAACACTAATTCAAAAAGCTAGATGTACCACAATGTTCATGGCAGCAGCATTTATAATTGTCAAGATAGGGAAACAACCTAAGTGTCCATCAACAGATGAACAGATAAGGAGCATGTGGTATATAAATAATGGAACACTACTCAGCCATAAAAAAGAAGGAAATCTGCCATTTGCAACAGCATGGATGTCCTTGGAGGGCATTATTCTAAGTGAAATAAGTTAGACAGAGAAAGACAAATATTGTATGATCTCACTCATATGTGGAGTCTAAAGAATGAAACAAACTAGTGAATACGACAAAAAAGAAACAGGTTCACAAATATAGAGAACAAACTAGTGGTTACCACTGGGGAGCGGGAAGGGGGGAGGGGCATGAGATGGGTAGCGAATTAAGAGGTACAAACTACTGTGTATAAAATAAATAAGCTACAAGAATACATTGTACAACACAAGAATATAGCCAATATTTTATAATTATAAATGGAGCATATAACCTTTAAAAATTGTGAATCACTATGTTGTACACCTGAAACATATAATAATGTACAGCAGCTACACCTTAGTAAAAAATAATAATACATCATAGTTCTTAATCCCGTACTGTGGGTGAGTTGGTTGATTTAGACACTATTTTGTCCCTCTCCTCATTCCTTCATGTTAAAGAAATGCTGAGTTCATGGGACTGTCATGCTGTCCTTCTTTTCAGTACTTCAGTTTGTGCCTCAGAGTGTGGATACTGGCTTCTGCAACTTCACCCAGCGCATCGAGAAGGGCCTGATGATCGCCCTGTCGGAAGTGAGGAGACACCAGCAGGGGACGTATAACCTCACGGTGCAGGTGGGAATGGCACTCAGTGCAAGGCAAGAGGCTCTGTCTTTGAAACAGGAGCTAGTTTTGTAGTTTTTTAAAAAAAGTGAGTGTTCTTTTTTTTTAAATTGAAGTATAGTGGTTTACAATGTTGTATTAATTTCTTTGGGGGTGATAATTAGGTTTGTCTATTTATTTATTTTAATGGAGGTACTGGGGATTGAACCCGGGACCTCACGAATGCTGAGCATACACTCTACCACCAAGCTATACCCTCCCCGCATCGTAATGTTTTAAGACACACTTAACTCTGATTCCCTCCAGCAGGGGAGTTTCAGCTCACGTAGATCAGGTTGCATCTCCTTTCCACGGCCTCCAGTCCACAGAGCATGAGTAGGCTGAGCGTATTTGAAGATTGCACGGTAGCTCAATAACTGGGCAGCCCCGATATGATGAGCGGAAGAGAGATGAGCCTGTGCCGGGAAAGCAAGAATGTTCTAGAAGGGAACAGTATCAACTTAAATAGCCAATGGTGGGGTGTCTGAATCCACTGGTGTTTCATAGTATTGAATACCTTGAAATGCGGTGCTTCACTTTAAAAACAGAAAATGTAGCTACTAGTCAGAGAAAAGGCTTTCTTTGTGTTGTATGGAAATGCTGATGCTTTTATGTTTCCTTCATATTTATTCCTCCCTATTCTTTGTTCTCTCTAGAATTCACAGTAAATGGATTTTGGTGCTTCTGGGTTCCCCTTCCATATTTCCTATTTTTTCCATCACTTCTTTAAATTCTCTTTTTTTTAAAAAAGCAGATTTTCTAAACCTTGTCCTCCAAGTCATTAATTTAGTCTCCAGCTGTGTTCGTTGTGTTTTTCAGTCCCTCTTTTGAATTTTCTTCTAGCCGTCTTTCTTCCTCATTGTTATTTGCTCTTTTTTCTTTACAGTCTTTCCTTTAATGATGCAGGCTCGTCTTGAATGATGATGCAATATCACCTTGAAGGTTTCTGAAGATACTAATCAGAATGGTTAATAAGTTGTCTTTCATGTCCTAAGTCACGTCTGTTTTCTCGGCATTATTTTTTTGCTGTTGTTCTTGGTTGATCTTGGTCCTTCGCTCTTGTGCTGTTAGTTTTCTGTGAACGTCTGTGGACTGTTGGTGGTTGTCTTTAGGAATGAGGAAGCAGGTGGTTAGTTTTGGCACCCTGTTCATCTTTCCCCTTCAACTGTGGAGTCTGTGTTTGCGTCAGAGTCTGTGTGTTCCCTGATGGGAAGATTCATCAGAGCCATGGTTACCGGGCAGTGTGTGGTCAGAGACAGACAGACAGATATCCCCTGCTCGCCATGTAGGATGAGAAGATAGTACCCTGGGGATGAAGCACGTTCGCGTATTTTTCATGGCAGAGCTGCTCTTTCATTCTCTTTCCTTCTTTGTCTCTTGTGTGCACTACAGTTATCTCCACCCACCTTCCTGCTTAGGAGCCACCCTGCAGTGGGTCTTGGGTCCTCTCAGGCAGGGAGCTCATCTTCCTTACCTTCCACAGTTCTTTGAGCTCCTGGGGTGAAGGTGGGCTGCTGCTGGCCCTTCTGAGTTGGCCTTGGTGTGAAGTTAGAAGGGGAAAAAAAGGGAGAGAACAGGTGATTCAGCTGTTGGCACACAGTCTTCACTTAGCGGCCCTGGTTGCTGTTCTGCAGTTTGCTAGCCTCAGGTCCTATGGGTCTCTGCCACCCAGGGGAACACTCTTGGTGTGACTGTGGTCTGTGCCTGTGTATGTTTGGGGTCTTGGTTCCCTCTGTCCTGGTTTGTGTCAGCATGGTCCCATCCTCTCTCCATCATCCATAATTTGACAGAATATCTGGTTTTCTTCCACTCTCAGTGCTGTTGTAGATTTATTCCCCTTTGTTCATCTTACTGTTATTTCAGTGGGATCTGGGGTGAGAAGAAAAAGGGGAGAAAGAGGTGATAACTACCTGTGCTCAGTTCCTCACTTAATGTAAAAAACATGGTTAATAAACTGAGGGTTTAAAGTATTACAGAAGGGAACCAGGTTGTGAAGCCTGTTACTCTTCTTTTAAAAATGTTATCTCCCTTAAAGGAAAAAAAATGGAAAGGGAAATTTTGAGAGAGAAATCACAGTCAGGCTTTCCACTAGACGTTTTCATTTATTTTAGAAGCTGATTCCGGTGCCTCTCTTTCAGATCTTGAATATCACCGTGGGATCTTCAAGGATGGCTCCTCGGCGGGGCCCGGTGAACATCGTCTTTGCAGTTAAGGGCTCGCAGGGCTTTCTGAACGGGTCTGAAGTGAGTGAGCTGCTCAGGAACCTGAGTGTGGTGGAATTCAGTTTCTACCTGGGGTACCCGGTGCTGCAGATCGCGGAGCGTGAGTGCTGCTCCCCTGTGGGGTGCTGGGAAAGTGGCTGCGGGTGGACCTCCTTTTTTTTTTTTTTTTTTTCCCAAATGAAACAGTTAGCAGAAATCCAGAATGTAAATCAGATAAAATTACAGCTTCTCAGATCACTCCAGGGTGGGTGTCCGGAGCCCGCCCCTGCCCCCAGGCTGGCTTTATTATTCTCTTTAGAGACTCAAGGGTGCAATCCCAGACAATACAGTTCTGGAGAAGGTGAAACCAGAGGGACCGAGGACAGATCTGTGGTTGCCAGCGGTGAAGGGTGCGAGGAAAGCGAGACTGCGAGAGGGAAGCAGAAAGCAATTCTGGAGGGTGATGGGAGTGTTCCATGTCTTTATCGTGGTGGTGGTTACACACCTCTATGCATTTGTCAAAGCCCATTAACACTACACCAGAAAGAGTGAGTTTTACTGTGTGTATAGTTAGAAAGGAAAAAGAAAAGATACAAACGAAACCTTCCTTCCTGGGGGAAGTGATTGTATTTACAGTACAAATGGAGTGGCGTAGGGGTGGGGAAACGTTTACTTCAAAAAAAAAAAAAATCAGCAGATTCCAGAGTTAAAGTCAGGCAATAAGGATATCAAACTCTTTTCCAAAATGGAACAGCCAAATGGCTTAATGATTCCTACCGGATTTTAGTGTACTGGTAATTTTTAAATGAAAAAGAATAACCTGTAAAATGCAAAAATAGGCAGGGATAAAGTTGTTATTTATGAAAAGCAGCTTTCAGTGATACACAGTGCAGATATGGATAAAATAGTAAGTATCTGGACACAGGGGCACTTTACTCGGCTTGAGTCATTGCTGGGAAATCCCAGGGTGCTGAGGAACACAGTGTGAAAACTCATTGCTCCGAAACAGTGACATTTCAAGGGGAACTTCTGCGGGGCTCTGTGAAGTAATTTCCCATGATGCCGCTTGAGTAAGCCCTTTCTTTCTCTTTCTCCCTCTTTCTCCTGGAGACTGATGTGCTCAGAACCCTCTAACTGTCCCTGCCTTCACCCCAGTTTGGCACTATGTTCTTCTGTCTGTAGAGCTAATTAGCATAGGCGAGGCCATGTGTTGTGACTTACCCAGCACTCCCTGGAACACTTACCTTTCTGATTGTTGCAAACATGTTTTTACGGATCTTTCTCCTTTTCTAACCCTTCTCTCTTTCTAGCCTTCCAGTACCCGCAGCTCAACTTATCTCAGCTGTTGAAGTCCTCTTGGGTAAGAACAGGTATGTTTAACTTACGTAATGTTTTGGGAAGGGCAAGAGTAAGAAATCTGTGCAGGGGTATTGAGAAAGATACCGCCTTTCCTGTTTCTGAGTCCTAAATTCAGGGCAAAATGTACCTTAGATTCTTGGCAGAGAATGAATGAGAAATGGATTCAGATTTGGCTATGGGAATGTGTCCCACTGAGTTATGGCACAGAAAGGACTGGCTTTCTTTAAAATTCATGCATCAAATTCAGGGCAGAGTCAAATAGCAATTGACAATCTTCTGACCCAGAATAGGACAAGGTTGCAAAGCAAGGATGTCTCTTTTTTTTTTTTTCCTAAAACCCTCATATATTTGGTTTTATAAGGACAGATAAGGTAACTTGGTGAGCAAGTAAGAAGCATGCTTTAAAGTCTTATGAGCTTGGGTCAGATGTTTACAGCTATGGTTTTGCCGATAAAGACTTTCTAACCTGGTACACAAAAGTGTAAAAGATAGGTGCTCATTGGGTGCCCAATACGTAAACAGTACAGTGAGTAACTAACTAGTCATGGGAAGAAAGCTGGTAGTTTGGGGACAGTTTACAGATTCCCAGACCCTCAAGTTCCCGTTGCTTCACACACAGCATCCCATATAAACGCCCCATCTGTTTGCATGGTTCAGTGGCCTCGTTTTCCCCTTAATTTTCGTAGTGGTTAAGTAACTTGCCCATGGTGCTATCTCAGAGATTTGAACCAGTTCTGGCTGAAAAGCACATGCTTTTTTTCCCTCCTGTAGCAGGCTGATAAGCCATTATCTGTTTAGATAATCCTGTTTACAGCAATGTCTGAAGACTGGCACCCTTACCTTGAGTTAGTGAGTCCAAATCTTGAGTCAAGATAAGATATGAACTCAAACCATTTCCAGAAATGTTGAAATAAGTGCAGACAAAATGTTTGATCTTGTGTAGGGGCTGTCAGCTCCAAAGTTCTTGGGAATTCTGGCCACCAGTCTTTGTAACCTTCAGAGAGGAGACCCGTGGGCTACCCTCCTGGACTCTCCTGAACCCGGTTCACCGTCCCTCTTTCCCCTTTGAACATCTCCTCTCTTGAGACTGGCCTTTCGTAGTACTCCTGTGTTAATTTCTCTTATGCACACACCCTTTTTCCTCCACTGCTGACTTGTTTGGGGGCCTGCGTGTGTTTCATCTTAAACGTAGTCCTCCTGGGTGTTGTTGAGAAGCAGCTCCAGAATGAAGTGTTCCAAGCTGAGATGGAGCGCAAACTGGCCCAGCTGCTCAGCGAAGTTTCCACCAGAAGGCGGATGTGGAGAAGGGCCACCATCGCCGCTGGGAACAGCATGGTGCAGGTAGGCCGAAGGGGGAGGACAGTGGAGAGAGAGAACCATCGCAAAACAGGCCATATTTTCACATGAATGGAAAATGCCAGGGGAAAATTTTGATAAATAGACTGATTGCTATCTTGGGCGGCAACTGAACAGGGTAACATTTCAGTTCAACTTGAGCCTGGACAGATATTTCCTTAGTAAGTGGTCGGTACAGGAAAACCACAGCAGGAGAATCTGTAGGTGGGTTGCCATACCATTGGATGACCTGAATTTTTCAAAGAATGGTTTTTTAATTACCAAAAATGTCGTCAGTTTTATGGAATGTGAAGTATCATTGATAGCATTGTAGAGATAAATCTCTCAGCTGGAAGAGACCCTGAGAAATCGGAAAGGGGAAAATATTCTGCCCTCTCTTCTGCTACCTCCCCACCTCCCGCCAACCCTACTTGCCTCATGTTACCCTAACTGTCTTCGCTGTGTACACTAGCAGGAAGGTTACAAATGACAGATTCACTTGAATTGAAAAGCGACCCAGTTAAACAACAAGTTTATTACTGTACCGCACGGGGAACTATATTCAATATGTTGTAGTAACCTACAATGAAAAAGAATGTGAAAACAAATATATGTATGTATATGTATAACTGAACTATTATGCTGTACACCAGAAATTGACACAACATTGTAAACTGACTATACTTCAATTAAAAAAAAAAGAAAGAAAAGTGACCCATTTAAAAATGCACGTACTCGGGGGCAGGGTATAGCTCAGTGGTAGAGCACATGCTTAGCATGCCTGAGGTCCTGGGTTCAATTCCCCATACCTCCATCCAATAAATAAATAAATAAATAAACCTAATCACTCCTCCCCCACACACACCCCCAAAAATGTACATACTCATAGAGAGTTGGAAGTTGGGGCTGTAATTTATTCCCATCTCAATGTGAATTATGTTGCTTTGGATTTTTTTCTTTACCAAATGCTGACTTTACCAAATGTAGAGCTAGGAAAATGGGATGTTTAGTGCTATGGCATTTTGGAGACAGGAAACCAGGGTGGAACACTGATGTGCAGGGGCAGGGAGGTTGGTGGCTTAGAGGCAGTAGAGAGGAAGATGTGAAGCTGACATCGGGTAGGGGGAGCTGGGCAGTTTGCCTAGAGCTGGCACCATCGTCCCTCAGATCTTTTACCAGATTTTCCCTGTAAGCTTTGCTCTTTATTTTCCCTCCCAGAAAGGTGGTTGTTAGGTTTCCAAAAGAGTTCCTTTGCCAGATGCAGTAGAATATAGAGAAATTTCAAAACTCACTTTTAAAAAATTGAGAGTAATATTAAATAACTATAAAACCAAGAATAAAAATTAAAATGAGTTATAAAAAGCCCTGCCTATTCAGTGGCCCTGGCTTCATAGAGCTCCACGTCTCACAGGATGTTAATTTATGCACATAAAACAGTTACAGATCACCATGAGGCTACGTAATGAGGGGCTAGGTTAGTTGTTCAAGTTCCCTCAGATAAGAATACAGGATTTGTGGCCATTAACCAAGCCATCCCAGGCTAATGGTGACGTCTGATGGATTGCTTAGAAACCGTGCCTGCATCTCTTCCTCTTGCGAGTGACCAAACCTGAAGGTGGAGACAAGAACTTATGTACAACAGTACAGATTCTTCATCAAAACATAGTGTGTGAAAGTATTAAAGCAACCCAAATGTCCAGCAATTGGAGAATGGGTAAATAAATGGTAGTGAAACCTTTTATCTATCTATCTATCTATCTATCTATCTATCTATCTATCTATCTATCTATCTATCTATCTATCAGTTTTATTAGGTAGAATGGTTACAATTTGACTGCACATATACAATCTACTGCATGTAAATACATATACACAATATACTGCACATATTTTTAAAATTTACATATGTGTACCGTTCATTGTTTCTAAGAACGTTTAGAGCTTTAGCTTTTTAAACTTACATAGTTATCAAAGGAATAAAGCCAACCACAAAACAAGAATTAATTCAAAAAGATATACCCTACTATTAACAGCAACATTATTTATAACTGCCAAGATATGGAAGCATCCCAAGTGCACATCGATAGATGAATGGATAGAGAAGATGCAGCATATGTATGGAATGGAATACAGCTCACCCAAAAGAAGGATATTTTGCCACTTGCAGCCTTTCATGTAGTGAAAACTTTATATGTTGAAATGTCCCATTACCTTTTTTCTTTTTATTTTAAGTTAGGAAGGGATATAGAAAAAAGCCCAAGTGAAGAGAGACTGCAAAAGAATGTATGCAGTGCAATCCAAATATTAATATGAAACTCTTAAAAAAATAACAGGAGGAAATATGCCAGAATGTTTACAGTGATTCTCTTTGGTTGGTTGAATTTCAGATGATTTTCATTTTATTCCTTATATTTATTTGTTATGCTCTTCAAAATTTCTCCAGTGAGCATATAATTTGTACAGTGAATGTGTGATTTTCATCAGAAAATAATTTTAAAAATGAAATTGAAAAATTGTCCCAAATGATGATTCTGTCATAGTATGGTTTTGTGGATTCCAGAATACGAATCTGAAAAGACGTCATCTAGAAAGGACACTGGGATTAGATTTTCCTGACTGCTACTTTCAGGTTGGACAAGCTTGTAGAATCTTTAATCAAGGTGGATATCATTGCATGTTTGGGTTTATGGTTTCTACAAGAAGAAGCGTTTCTAAAATTTATCAGAACTTTTCAGTGCAATAAATAAGCACACAGGTAGACGCACAGAAGGGCGTGATCTACACGCTGCTCAGTAGCCCTCTGATAGTTTTCCACTCTGAAAGCTAATAAAAATTAACCCTTACAGCACAGTCTTGGGGAGGGAAGTAGGTGTTTAGGAAGCAAAAGTGGTCAAGGAACTGGCCTAGAAACAGCAAGTAAAAGGCTGGGCAGGTGAGCCTTTCTCAGGATGGAGAGGTTGTAAAGAACAGATTCTCCGGGGACGGGAGTTTGGACCTGTGCTGTTAAGGCTCTTTATACATGAACTGGAAGAAGGCTTTCACAGTGAAATCATGAAATAGTTGATTTGCCAAAAGCTTCCAGTGGTGAAGGAGGAGGCCAGCAGCCGTGTCCGAAGCACAGGGCACTATTACAGTTCTGCACATGTGGCTAGTAAAGTAGTAGCTGCATTTTGCCAATGGCAAATGTAGAGACCAGACATTCAAATTATGTGTGTAAAATAGAGGGCTTGGAGTTACCGTTGATGATTCTCTCAGGACATCAGTTCACCATTTACTGGAGTCTAAAGGGGCAGTAAAGTTGTTGCATATTACTAAAAGAAACAGCATCAAAATAGAAAGGTGTATTTATGCAAAACAGTGATAATCAAGTATACTGGATTTTGAAGTATTAATGTAAAAAGGGCTGTTCTGTTTATACCAGAGAGGTAGAAATTCTGGGACAAATCAAAGTACTGTTTGGCCGAGCAGATTATGAATTGATGAGACTTCTTTCCCAGCTTGATTGAGATATAATTGACATAGAACATTGTGTAAATTTAAAGTGTACAGTGTGATAATTTGGTATGTGTATATATTGTGAAATGATTACCACAATAGGATTAGTTAACACATCCATTGCTCACATGGTTACCTTTAGTATGTGTGTGTGTATATGTGTTGAGAACTTTTTTTTTGGTCATGTAGAACTTGAGCTTTTTTTTTAATAATTTTTTTATTAAGTTATAGTCAAGTTTACAATGTTGTGTCAGTTTCTGATGTACAGCACAATTCTTCAGTCATACATGAATATACATATACTCATTTTCATGTTCTTTTTCACTGTAAGCTCTTATAAGATATTGAATGTATTTCCCTGTGCTATACAGTATAAACTTGTTTAGCTATTTTATATGTACCAGTCAGTATCTGCAAATCTCAAACTCCCAGTTTATCCCTTCCCACCTCCTTCCCCCGTTTGAACTTTTAAGATCTACTCTCTTAGCAACTTTCAAGTATGCAATACAGTGTTGTTAACTATAGTTACCATGCTGTACATTAGGTCCCCAGAACTTATTCCTCTTATGACTAGAAGTTTATACCCTTTGACCACCATCACCCATTTACCTTAACCTCCATCCCTGGCAATCACCAGTCTACTCTCTCTATGAGTTTGGCTTTTTCAGATTCCACATATGAGTGAGATCATGCAATATTTGTCTTTCTTTGTTGGACTTATTTCACTTAACATAAATGCCCTAAAGGTTCATCCCATGTTGTTGCAATGGCAGGATTTTCTCCATTTTTATGGGCGAATAATATTCCATTGTGTGTGTGTGTGTGTGTGTCGTAGTGTGTGTTGTGTGTGTGTGTGTGTGT